CAGTTCTTTCAAAGGTTCTTTGATGAACAACAAGTCCCACTATGTGGAAGTGTGGCATTATAACCTCCAATTTTAAAGGTGGTAGCCGTTCCGATCCTGCAAACTATCGTCTAGTGACTCTTCTCCCTGTTTTGGCAAAGGTGATGGAAGCAGTCGTCGCTGAGGCTTTAATGGACTACCTGGGAAATGCAACATTTTGGTACCGGAACAGCATGGCTTCCGTCAACACCGGTCATGCATCAGCAACCTACTCATTGCACGAGGTAGTTGGACGGAAGTGGCCGATGATGGGGTCGGAGTCGACGTCATCTATCTGGACTTCTCCAAAGCTTTCGACCGCCTTGATCACCGCCTTCTACTTCAAAGACTACAAAGTTACGGAATCGCGGATCCTGTACTTGGTTGGATTGGCAAATTCCTTTATCAAACAAAAGCTTCAAGTACGTGTTAGGGGATCAACTTCTAACCCAATTGAAATGGAATGTGGTGTCCCACAAGGCTCAGTGCTGGGACCGCGTTTATTCCTGGTGTTTATCAACGACCTGGTAAGAGTCATCTCCTCAAACTTCCTGCTCTTCGCCGATGACGTCAAGATATGGCTGGCGATTACTAACAAGGCAGATCAAGAGCTGCTCCAACATGACTTAGATTGCATTTACGAATGGTCAAGGAGGAACAAGCTTCAATTGAACATGGCTAAGTGCAAAGTGATGCATCTGCGTCACCAGCCGGTGAGCGCTTACAAGATTGGAGACCACACCTTGGCGAAGGTATATCAGGAGCGTGACCTGGGTGTATTGGTACAGGAAGATCTCTGGTGTTCAAAACAAGCAGAGAAGGCGACGAGAACGGGCAACCAACACTTCGGCCTTCTTCGCAGTGCCTTCGGTCAGTTTGAATCCTCAATATTTCCCAAAATGCTTAATGCCTACGTGCGACCTCACGTGGAATATGCTATCCAGGCGTGGCAGCCGTGGCAGAAACAGGATCTCGTTGCTCTCAAGACTCCTCAACGACGGGCAACCAAGAAAGTCAGGGGCCTCTTTCGTCTGCCCTATCAGCTTAGACTGAAATTTTTAAGCATCTACAGCAGTCGATATCGGCTTTTGCGGGGGGGTCTCATAATGGTTTACCAGATTCTGAAGAACCCAAACCACATTTGCCGTCCGCTGCTGGAATTGCACCACATCACTAAACTAAGAGCTCACTCTCTGAAACTGACAATTCATTATAGCCGGTTGAATGCCGTAGAAATTTCTTTTCTCTCCGCGTGTGCCAGCCTTGGAACGCCCTCCCTAATTATGCCATCTCTGCTCCCAATCTGGCTATAGTTAAAAAACGTGTTGACGATGCATTGTCTCACTTACATTTCATTTTATGACTTGTTAGCCAGGGGCTACAAAACGCAATCAAACGGTGTCTTGCCAAACGCCTACCCAATGGATGTATGGATTTATACCTTTAATACGCGAACATCTCCGCTATTCCACACAAGTCTATGGTGAGTCCACCACAACGCTTTTCACTTTATTATGCAATTGATTTGCGCAATAATTTCCATCCCACGGGACTTGTTAAGCGATGCTTTTTTACCCGTAATAAACTATTGTTCCCTTGTTCCATTGTACTATTGGAGGGTCGTTGTGAACCACTGGTTCTGAGAATCAATTGCGAAGCGCCATCTAAATATGGACGGGGAATCAAACTGAATTAAATCTTAGACAAATAGAGCACATGGACCGTCACTGATGAAGTAGATAAACGGCGATCCAGTTGGTCCCTGTCACTCCATGTGCTTTCGTGTATTTTGTGTGCGTCAACCTATACAGCTGCTCGATTATTGGATCAGTGCAAGCTATCATGGTTTCAGCAAACACAGCACAGGTTTATTGGCCTACTTCTCCAAGTCATTTTCAAACAAATGGGATCAATACCATAGGACAATGTTTATATCACGTTGTGCTCGCGCTAATGCCACGGGTCCATGCCAGCAGTGGGCGAATGTGCACTCCCTTCTCTCCATCTTTTTCGTTGTGTACCTTCATCAAATTTGGTGCATTGGATTCCCCTGTCCTTCTGTGCATTTCCGCTAGTTTATGTGGGTGTACACGAAATTATACAGCCGTAGGACTATTGCAACCGTGAAGTCTAACAAGAATACATCGAGCGTATGCTAACTTTATTGCAAAAGCTGCAAATTATTGCAAAGGAACAGTGCAGGAATTGTGTGTAACGGGTACTAAGGCGATGCGTAACAAGTCCAGCAGGATGATGTGTCTAAAGCGACTAGATATGTGCAGGTAAAATGTTGCTCTTGGCAATGCAAGAGAACTGGCTAACCAGTGGGGATTGTCGCTCGTAGCTCATATTTATCGATTCGAGAAGCCCATGGCCAAAGACGCCATGCTGTGTTTGGTGGAATGATGATAGTTTTCACTGTTCCAGTAATCAAGGAGCTCTATAGTTTGACTCCCACAAAACAAGCGAAAGCCCATGGAATAACAGGGGCCAACTGGATCGCCGCCTATCTACTTCAACAGTGACGGTCCAAGTGCTCGATTTGTATAAGGTGTAATTCAGTTTGATTCCCGTCCATATTGTGATGGCGCTTCGCAATTGGTTCTCAGTACGAGTGCTTCACAACGACCCTCCAATAATAGATACGATTTTTTAAGTCAGGATGGATAAGCTTTTAAGTATTCTGACTTTGCTTATCGCATAGTTACACATGTTCACGCTTAAATTCCGAAGCATGTAAACTTTCGGATGTTAGAAATGGTGGATTGTGATACTTAGTGAGCATCTTTGATTTAGGAAATCTAATTTCACGAGCAAAGAAATAGTTTGTATTGGCACCCGCTACTCACACATTTCGGTTGCTTTACGATGACTACAACATTTTCCGCACCGCGTTTAGTCGCCTTTCTCCTCATTTCTTGCAAATGAGTTGCTTAGTTTCTGCTTTAACTCCATGTTGTCCATAGTTGTTTGCAATCAGTCTATTTTGTTTTGCGCTAATTCCTGTGTTTTGCGAAGCCTCCACTGTGTTTTACGAAGCGTCCATATTTTGTTGCAGAACGTCTATATTGGTTTCTTGAACGTCTACAGTGGTTTGCAATTTCTAATTTAAATTGTTTATTATTTACTCAACTGAGGTTATCCAGAGTGCATTGTAACACGTGCGATATATGCCATCCTAACCATGTTGTCTTTTATGTTTTTGTTTAACCAGAGGAATATTGCAAAGTACTTCTTGCTCTCATTACCGGAAAAAAGTAATTGATAATCCTAGTTAGGCCTCGCGTAATGCTGCAATCGCCGCTTTGCATGATTGGAAGTTTTGATACCATTTGCACACAACATTGTTTAACAGTAAGAATTGTTTTACCCTTTGATCTTTGTCACTCCTGTTATTTTGTCTTGGATTTTTACTTATTGTCCTAACAGTAATTGGAAAATTACGCACCTACTCTAAGCTGATTAAACCAGTCCAAGGAAACAGTTTCTGAAAGGGGCACTTCTCGACATAGCAGTGTTCCGATTTCAGTCCTCTCTAGCTTGGCTGCATAAAATCCACGAATAGTTTGTCAGCTCACCACTGTGTATATTGGCGACGCAATAAAGTTTTTCCGACACGTGGTACAACTGACACTGGTAACTGAATGTATGTATTCAATTTTTTTTAAAAGTCGCAAGACATTATATTTGCAGTGGTCATTTTCGTCCGGAGGTAATGACATATGGTATTGTTCACAAGATTTATTGAGCTCTAAGTATTATAACTTTACCATGTTCAGTGTGATTGGAATTTACACATTATTCAAGTCATGGATTAGTTAACATTGTGCACTATTTCCCAGTTAAATGCAATCGTAAAATTAAGTGCAGCACGAAAAGAATGAATGTTGGACTAACTGCACTGCTACAACATTGCAATGAGCAACTTGTGGTCGAATTGGCAAGTATGCTGTTAAGATATACATTGATTACGAGCACATATATATACTTGATGAGATCATCAGTATAGGAAGAGTCGGTTCGCAATCTACTACATCAGCATGCCTATGCATGTGACCATAAATATGCGCGGGAATTTTGGATTGAGCTTGCAGTGGAAATGGGTGGAGTGCAGAAATTTATAATGAATGACAGAAAAGCTGCCTTAAACCTACCGTTTTTCAAGCTCATGATGTTCAACCGTTGCAGCATTCGAAGACTCACCATTGCTAAAGTGGTCTGTCGCTGTGGTTTCTGACTGGGAGTTAGCAACTATCCTATGTTCAAAACTGCAAGCAGTTAAAGGTGCAAAAATATCCGGAGAACCTTAAAAGATTGTAGCCAATGGTGCGGATGAACATTGATTAACAACGCGCAAAATATATTGCTTGACAGATTCCATAAGATGGCAGGAGTGAGGATAATAGGCCGACAGACATGAAGAGGCTCGTTACATTCGAGCCTCGCTGCCTTCGCAGCTTAGCTGATGTCTGGTGGGAACAACGCGTGAGCAATGAGCGGTTTCGGCTTCGCGTATTTGGTGCAGGAAGAGCGAGTGAACCGCTCAGCACCATTATATCACGCACCAGGCTCCGATGGCTGGGCCACATGTTGCGCATGCCAGCACACCGACTCCCGCGACGTGCATTGTTTGCGCGTTGTGGGTGCGGTTGGAAGAGGAGGAGGGAAGGCCAAGTGATGACTTGGTCGGCAGAAATGAAAACCCTCACTTCGAAGTTGGCGTCGGTTGGTGCATCCCGATTGCCTGGCTGGGGTCCTAAGGATGGTGAACACGTTTAGTTGGACACACTCGCTGATATGGCTTGGAGCCGGCCCCAATGGCGTTTGTGTTGTGAGTTCATTTCAATAGTTCAATAGTGTATGATGGGATAAAAAGCATTGGCTTTACAAGACCCATAGGATGATAAATGCAAAATAAGTACAAATCATTAGATTCCGACATGGAACTGAAATGCCAATAGTCTAAACCTGGTACATTACACCACAATGTGTTGTTTGTCACTCAAATGAATGTCTAACAATTGTTTGAAGGCTGTAATGTTCGGAGCGTTTACCACATGCGTTGGCAAGTCATTCCATTGTGAACAGATTCTAAGAGAGTAAAAATATTTTCTGCAGTCTAATCGGGAGTGTTGGATTATCAGCTTGAGGTTATGACCTCTCGATCGCTTATATGAGGCTAGGGTGAGCAGCGATTTGCACGGGTGATCGCTTTCCGTTAATATCCGGTATGCGAGAATGAGATCTCCGCGTAGTCGTCGGTATTCGGAGGAAAACATTCCGATTAAACTGAGACGCACTTCATAATTGAGACCAGATAATCCGCGTGTTGCCTTGGTAGCTCTTCGTTGGGGCTGCTCTAAGAGATGAATGTCTCGTTTTAACCATGGGCACCAAGCCTGGACGGCATATTCGACGTGGGGACGGATATAGGAGTTGACAAGCATGGGTACCAGCCGTCGTTCAAAAACACCAAAAGCTCGCCTCAAAAGTCTCAGGTTCATGTTCGCCACGTTCGCTGCTTTGGAACATTGGAGCGAATTCCCCAGACTTTCTTGCACAATGATACCTAAGTCTTTTTCTGTGGTCACGCGCCGTAAAGCGTACTGCCCCAAGAGGTACGTGTTGGCAAGATTGCTGCGCAATGACAGTAGGTGACACTTGGCAGGATTCAGTGGGAGATGATTTATATCTGCCCATTTGTTGATTCTATCCAAATCATTCTGGAGGAGGACACAGTCTGATGTTGAGCGAATAACTCTCCAGATTTTTGCGTCATCTGCAAAAATTTGCATCGAGGATTGAATATTATCCGGGAGGTCGTTAATGTAGACCAGAAAAAGGAGGGGACCAAGGACGGATCCTTGAGGAACACCGCTGGAGATGCAGAGGGTTTCCGAGAGGGCATCGGCGACTCTGACCTTGATCGTTCTGTCATGCAAATATGCTGCTAGCCAGGTGAGTAGGGAACCATGGATACCGTAGGCACGAAGCTTATGAAGCAGAGCTAAGTGATTGACTCTGTCGAATGCCTTCGAAAAGTCTAGGTAAATCACATCAAGGGGAGATCCTTCATCAAGTGCTTTGGTCCATGAATCCCGAGCAAGAAGCAGATTTGTGAGGCAAGATCGTTTGCGCCTAAAGCCGTGTTGGAGGTGAGAAATTAGCTTCAGACTCTCAAAATATCGTGTAATTTCATCTGCAACTAACGATTCCATTACTTTTGATAACACAGGGAGGAGAGTAATGGGTCGGTAGTTGGCAGGATCCGATCGCTTACCTCCTTTGTATATCGGAGTGACTATCCCGCTTTTCCACTCAGACGGAAGTGTTTGGGAATTGAGTAGACTTTGGAAAAAGCTTGCGAGGTGTGCTGCTATGGTGGGAGCAAGAGTTTTAAGAACTTTGGGTCTGATCTTGTCGACTCCCGGAGCGCTATTTTCTCTTAGAGACCGTAGTTTGCTAGCGACAGCTGCTGAGGTAAAAGTGACAGTTGATATGCCGACCACGTTGGGTGAATGCTGGTTTGGCAAAGGTTCTATGGCGTTTGCAGTCACTGTGCCAAACTGCAGAAGTAATGCGTTCGCAGCATCCACAGCAGTAGTCGTTAGGCCACCATCCGTCTTGAGTGGTGGTATTCCTGTTTTAACTTTTCTTCTGCTGTTCACGTACCTGTACAGCAGTTTTGTATTGTTCGTGAATTTAAGTACCATGTTTTTTTGCCATTCGTACTTATCGGCTCTAATCAGTGATGTGCAATAGTTCCTCACTATTTTGTAATTCTCCCAGGTGGCGTCGCAATGGTTCAGCGCGTATTGTCTCCAGATCTCGTCTCTGGTGCTAATCCATTTACGCGTTCTGCTTCGGATCCAGGTGTTGGTCCGGCGCGGCACTCGTAATGGTATGACTTTTGACGCTGCTTGCGTGACACCGCTAATTTTGTCTTTTAGTTCGTTCCACGCGTCGTCTGCCGTGCTCTCTAGATTGAGGTCCCAGTTGACGGTTGTCGCTAGGCTGTGCAGCACGGAATAGTTGGTTATAGTTCGTCGGTTTTCATGTCTGATTTCAGTAGTATTGGCGTAACACACATAGGCAAAATTCAACACTGAGTGATCACTGTTGCCTAATGGTGGATCGTATGAAATTGTCTCAATCATCAACTCTTCGTTGGTTAGGATTAAATCTAGAAGCGATGGCTTATTTGAACCGCGGTGTCTAGTTGGTCGGTGCACGTGGTTGTACAGAGCTGCTGTATCCATAAACTCGAGAATCTTTGATTTGAAGTAAGGACCGCTAGAAGTCGCTGAGACAATTGAGGGTACGTTAAAATCGCCCATGATTAGACAATGTGAGTACTTTTGAGAAACTGCATAATGAAGCGCGTTTAACAGGATGTCATCTTGGTCTGCGGTGGAATTCGGTGGCCTGTAGACAACTGCCAACAGACAAGCATCCCACGTCTTCTTCGAAGGTTCACCACCTCGGCCATTTAGCTGCATTCGGCAAAACAAAGCGTCGGAGACAGCAAGGTGACGTTCGTTAATAGCCTCACATCTCAGACAATTCCGATAGTACAGAGCAACGCCGCCACCGCGAGATGGACGATCATTGCGAATAACTGACATATCACTGATTTCGATTTCCGTGTCAAGCATGTCACTGGAGAGCCAGGTTTCAGTTACAGCTATGATATCCCAATTGATTGTGTTATGTCGATGGCGCAATTCAGGTAGCTTAGAGTTGAGCCCCTGAGCGTTTGTGTAGCAGCACTGTATCTGTTGACACATTAGGAGCTCGGTTCGTTGTGGTTGACCGGCACAGCTTGTGCCGGTCTGCGTACGTTTTTTGTCACAGGCGTTTGCACATTTGTCTGACCTGATTTAGGAACAACCGAGTCCGGTTCGTCTGTATCTGTAGCCCGTACTTTGTTTAGGAACGGTCTTAAACGTATTTCAGGTGGCCCACGTTTTCTGTTGTCGTGCCACGCTTGGACGGCCGTTGATACCATCTCAGGTGTAGCCACGGTGACTTTCAAAATTTTTGGCCCGTTACCCTGATAGTTTAAGGAGGCCGCTAGACGGGTGACATCGAAAGTCACGATATTTTGTATGTTGTAGAGCTCCGTTATGTACCTCCACTCTTCGATATCGTGCTTCTGATGTTCATTTATATCGCCATGGTTAAGTTCTGGAACACCGTGGACCAGCACTACTTTCTTCGTCGCATCATGTCGTGACGCGACTGGGTCGGATTTCCATTTTTGCCTTTCTATCCATGGTTTATCTGGGAAAATGCGGGCGCTGAGGGAGGAATTTGTTAGCTTGTGGCCTGTCAGGAGCACATCCTCCAGGTCGCGTGTGTTACCAAATGTTACTCGTAATAACCGAGGTTGTCCTAAATGCGGCGAGGATGGATTTCGGGAAATGCGCGTAAGACTAGTTGCAGGAACGTTAATTTCGAGAGCACAGCATATCTCTGCCCAGCGGTTTTGTTCTTCCACTTGCCTACCTTTTAGCGACTCGCTCGTGGGCTCTGGTACATTTGAACACATAATTGTCAGAGCGTTTTTGTTGTACACTAACTGCTTATCCTGAGAGTTGTTACTGGTGGACATTTGTCTAGGTTGACTACTCATCTTGTCCCTTGTGCAGGGAGAGCCTGCGCTGCTACATGGCTGCATACGCGGAACACCGTTTGTTGTGCTGTTTGTGGGGGTCAAATGTTGCTGTCCAACCCGTGACAGGGTTGAGCGTGCAGTTTGTGCATAGCTGTTTAAGCCTTGAGACACTTCACAAAACTTGGGAGGTCGTTCGACAGGCCTGTCTTCGCTGGCGTCCATCAACAATGGTGTGCTATTTTTACCGTACTGTGTGGCTTCTTTACTAAATGGCTCTCGCCTTTTGACAGGTCTGGGATTCGGGCTCCTTAATACACTAATCTGCGACTCAAGTTCAGTGGTTTTTTTTACCAAGCTAGTAGTCAATTCCTTTAGTTCTGTGACCGTTAGGGCTAAACTTTCACACTTCGCCATAAGCACTTGAATGACCCTAGCCAACGGTTTAGTTGAACATGCGTCACACACACACAAGCCGTCGATCGACATACAGTGTTTTGTAACCCCATCGAAGGAATTGGAACAAAGCGAGCATGTGGTGACCGACGTGTCTGGACCACTATTGACCTTGGACTTGTTCATTGGCGTAGCTTTGAGACTACGTCGGCCCGTCATGTGCACGCGAGGAACAGTGGACATTGGAATATCACAAAGGCTTTGCGTGGCAAAACGCGCTAAGGGAGTTACAGCGGTGATTGCGTGATCACAAAATAGCCTCTATTTGTGGTATCTAGAGGTGCACTACAATAAGTAAGGTGTTGTCTAGTAGCCTTAAAAAAGCTCCGTCGAATGGTATTCCAATGTAGTGGGAAAAATAAAAAACAACGCAGTTTCACAAGCAGGTCTTACCGAATGATCTGTCAAAGACGGTGTTCAGGATTTGCCAGTGTGTCGTTAGTAGTACTGCAGAAAGACTGAATCCGTTGGATAGGTCTCGACAATCCGAGACGATTGAGTGTAATTCCGAAGATGTGGCACAAAATGGAAGGCGAATAGAGAGAAATAACACAAATTATCCAGGAGCGCGCGGCACGCGGTCACGAACTAAACTGCCGTTAACTGTCGTTAACTCAGAACCATCTAAGCATTAGCAGATTATCAGCTAATCAGTCATACCCGTGGTTCCGCATCTTTTCATATGGCAAATTAAGCGTTTCAATGACGCACTTGGAAACCCCGACTTTGAGTTTGCTCCAGAACAGTGACATCGTGCTTCAGTTTTGGTTGCTTTGTTTGAATTTCGTATTCTACGTGGTAATGCCAATTCTCTTTACTCAGAACAACCCGTCATCCCCAACCAGTGACGTAGGCCAAGTTCCATGATGGGGAACCGTAGGGTCTACCTTTCGAACCATAGATGTAGAAGCTGTGGTTTCGTATGAAGAGTATCATACACTCGAGTAGTCACCCTACCTATGAGAATTGAATCTTTCAGATGCGCTACCGTCAAACAATTTTGAACCTTTTGAGAAATAGGCGTTGTTATCATCAATGAATCTTAGTATGTCACGAAAGTGGAGACAGACAGAAGTGTAGCCAAGTCACAGACTGATACCACACAGCACAACAGCGACATGGCGGAGAAACAAAGCCCATCGCGACGCCACTGAACTGGACTTTATTTTGATGCGTTAGTTTGCCTACCTTCGTGACCCATTGAACTTCGCTCAGGGACACCTTCTAGATGCCATCACCACTGCTCATACCAAACCTATCAATGGTTAGTGCTCGGATTAGCTCAGCCTCAAAATCCGCTTCTGTGGTTGGTAGTTACTCGTGGTCCTCTTCCCTTAGAACAGCCACGGGAGACAACAGATTTTAGAGTATCTCACAGTTGGATTGACGTAGAGCACTAGTGCCACGCATTGTCTCTGATCGTGGGAGTGCACCACGCAATGCATAATGGTTTGATACCTCCCGCTTCAATCCAGGCAACTCTTGGTGAAATAGGTGCCAACCCGCCAGTTCCTAAATGCGGTTACCTGTGCTCACACATGGATTGCCCTATATCCTCACAGGTTGTGTCTGACAGGCCTCAAACAGATCCCAATGAGACACTGCAATCACGCTCTGCAGTTGGACTAGCTCCCCACTACATTGTGGGTTAAGCTGTTGAGCCAAAGTTTATGGGTGGAGCCACTCAAGTGAACCTCTTTTAGGCGACCGCGTTGTGGATCAGACTATTGAGTGAACGGTTAAGGGTAGGGCACCTCAATCAACAACCCTGTTCCGGAATGGGCAGCAGGAGAGTATAATCTGCGTTCTCGACCCAGTTGCCAAGACTTCTTCTCCTCTACCCGTACCACTGTCTTCCCCATGTATTGAGCAATGGACTGTCACTGACCACGTAATTGAAGCTATCAAACCGATATGCGTCTTTCTCAATGGTTCATTTGACGTCCAAGCACTTTTCAGTTTGGCTAACAGCAGCACTAACTCCCACTATACACTCCATCGGTATTGGTGTGTACTGTCTCTGAAACAGCTATACAAGATAACCACGTCGTGACGAACTTTTCACTTCTTGGTTCCGAATCTGCTGACAACGATTACACTCTAAGTGCCTCCGGCGATACGAAGTAAATAGCTCAAGGTTATTATGTTGTCCGTATCGCCTTCAGCAATCATGCAGAATGCAATCTACTCGACTGGGTGCCAGTCAACAGCCGTGTGTGTGCTGTTCGATTTCGAAACTCTATTGCGGTGAATGACAACCGTCTGAGGATATCGTGTGTTGTCAATGCTTCTGTTTATGCACCTAGCGACTGCAGTTCGGAGGGTATGAAGGACCACTTCTGTTGTCATCAGAAACTACTGAGACTGCGATTGTTGCTGGTTACATGAATGTCTTAGTGGGTCGCTTTTCGGACTCTAAACAACACCTGGAATGCTGTTTCGTGGTGCATGCATGCCGAACAGTGGCGATCGGTTCGTAAAACTATGTGCTGCCCTCAGTGATCATATTGGCAGCACTGGTTTCAAGCACTAACATTCACATCGTGTCACATGTGCCCACCGAACCCATCGACGACGTTGACCCGAATTGACCCTGTTGATGTAGGCTACACACGGCGCACCTCGGTTCAAGGCCGTCAGTCAATTTTGAGTATATGTCTGCATTCGGACCAGGCTCTACTGTCTCCCGGTTCACCTGTAATTGCAGTGACACCTCTATATGGGGTACCAAATGATTCCATTATCCAGACGTACATACGGCACCGTGGTGTGCCGTAAACCTCGATAACGTTTCGGGAGGTTTTTGGCCTCGTTCGACACACAAAGTCAGCAAAGATCCTCCTTCCTGAAGGGTGTGCCAAGGAACCTTCTGTCTTTACTGCTGGATGCCCCATCGTCCCGCGTTTGTGAAACTGAATGTCCTAACCTTGCAACGAAGGCCGTCTGCGCTCTGGTCGTGGCCCATCCATTACCGCTCTGCGCTGCTGGTACACTTAGATTGGCCAATACAAGCTCCCATAAATATATACTGTTCCCAGTATGGTTGATGCTTACAACGTTGGCTTGCCCATATCTCTCCATTTGAACGCGTCTCCAGCTTAACTCGTAACTTGTTACGCCTTGGAGCAGTGCGAATATTTCATGTAGATAATCATACGGTGCCACTTAACATCATTTAGTTCACTCTACACATAACGACAATAGAAATCGAACGAAGCGATGATTGGTCGTATAGCTTCACGCTCAATCATAGCGAGGGAAATATCAGCAAGAAGTGGTCCTAGG